AAAAAAAAAACAATAACAAAAAGAAACAATATCTTGTGAACAAATACTTCATGAACTTAATGAGTGTCAAATCTAACTAAATTTGAGCTGAGGATTGCCATAAAGATGTCTAACCTCTTCTCCCTTTTGTCTTTCTAACCCTATAGCAACACTGTCCAATACAGATAGTAACCTCTAACCAGAGGCATCTACTCACATTTAAATTGGTTAAAATGATATAAAATTAAAAATTAAGTTTCTCTCTAACACTAGACACATTGCAGACACATAGTAGCTACATATGGGCCACCATATTGAACAACACAGTTGTAGAACATTTCCATCAATGTACAAAGCTCTATTAAGCAGTGCTGCTACATTTTAACAGGAGAACTATACTGATACTCTTAAAAGAACATATAATAAATTTTTTAGATCCTTTTGAAGTGGTTTCATTTCTATGAAAACTACAGCTCCTCAGTAGTACAGATAACATAATTTTTCTTTTTTTTGGACCCAGGATTGAACTCAGGACCTTGTGTTTGCCAGGCAGGTGCAGCATCACTGAGCTACATCCCCAGCCCTATTTTTCATTTTATACACACTCACATAAAATCAAAAATTCTTCATCATCTATGTTCCACAGGATTTTTTTTAAAAGGCAAGGGAGGGCCGGGGATTTACCTCAGTGGTTCCGCCTCCTGCCTCACAAGCGCAAGGTCCGGAGTTCAATCCCTGGTACCAAAAAAAAAAGAAAAAAAAAGAGGCCAAGGGAGTCTGAGGCAGGATCACCATGAGTTTCAGGCCAGCATGGGCTACACAGTGAGTTCAAGACCAGCCTGGAACACACAGAGACCCTGTCTCAACAAAACAAAGGCAAAAAATAAATTAGCTCAGTACTATTAAACTGCACTGTAAGCAGCCTCATCTACAGGATATACATATTACTCCTTGGGACAACAATTTCAGTGGACAGAATTTTTTTTTGAGACAGGGTCTTGCTATGTAGTTCAAGTTGAACTTGAACTCATTATGTAGCCCAAGTTGGCCTCAAACTCATTATGTAGCCCAGGCTGCCCCCCAAATCATGGTGATCCTCCTGCTTCAGCCTCATAGCCATGCACCACCATGCCTGGCATTAGTAGACAGTACTTTAAAACAGTGTTTACATACATAAAAGATAACAAATACAAATCAAAAAGAAAGAACCTACAGGAAGCAAGGCCTTTTCAATTTATAGCAGACACACTTTGGGCCACCATCCCTGGACTTCTGAGGGCAATCATCCAACTCACTTCTGCCACTGGGAGTCCTTGGTAGAAAAGTTAAAGCATTGTTAAAATAAATGAATTAAAATTTAAAAAAAAATTTTTAATTACCAGAAACAATTATATACAACAAAACTCTATAAATCAGTATAACCTTTCTTATCTAAAGCATCAGACCTTCAGTTTTCTTTTAAATGTAAGAACAGAGCCCAAGCTATTTCAACTTAATCTGAGCATTTTGCTTTAGGCATTCTAATACATGTTTAAGTACTGTATTTCTATAGCACTCTCAAAAAATTACCCAACTGAAAACACTGAAAGGAAACAAATGTCTGTTAAATTAACCGTCACCTACCTATGCTAGGTTTGCACCTTAAATTCCTGTACCCCTCCCTCACTCTAAGTGAACCAGGGAGCACTATGCTTCTCATCTAGACAACTGATGCAATTTCATTAAGCGTTTATGTTAATAATTGGTTTGTGTCCTCGCAGGACTTCTGTGGCCCCACTTACAAAACCCATTATGCACGGTGCTGCACTATTCTCTTTCTCCAGAAAGCATTTTAAATACTGACACTTGTACAAGGTTTATATGTTATATTAAATAAAAAGAGCTCTTCTCATTTTAGCTTCAACTATCTTTCCTGCAGAAGGGGTGAAAAAGCCACTTTCAGCTACTTCATTAAGTCAAAGGCAAGTTATTCATCTTGGTTAATCAACAGAGTGATAAAGCAGCACCCTCAAGCAGCTCCCAGTTTACCACCTTTCTCCTGGGGCTTTATTTGAGAAACACAGTCTTAAACAAATAAAGTGCAACAATTGAGATGAACAGCAACCAAAAATAGCCTAAACTGCCCCTTGAAGTGTGCTCTAAGTATCAACTGTGAAACCTGACAAAATTAAGTTCAATGGTGGTGAGAATAACTATACACCTTCTATAACAGTGACAGCAAAACTTTTAGAGATCAAGTGCCCAAATTGCAACCCAAACTCGCTTAGCACACAATGCCAACATTGCAATTAAATCTGAGTGCTCCGCCACTGGGTCAATGCTGGGACGACTTGGCTCTACGAGCCCGCTGCGGCACACGTGCCATAGCTTTGCCACCACATTCTATAGGACAAAGGAAGGGCAGAATGTACCCAAACCTAACTTGAACAAGCATAAATCTACTGGATAAATACTCTCCCCCATCCATCCCTCAGGTACTTTAAGCCAAGATTTTCAAATTTCACCGAACCTTTAGGGGCAGCATAGGGTTGCCAACTTTTATGCTGCTGAAGGAATAAAAAAGAAACTATCAATGACCATTACATTATCTCATAAAATAGCATGTTCCCACCAAAAATGATAAAATTAGAAAAAAATTCTTCTAAATTCAATAGATTTAGCTTCACGAAAAACTAACATTCTCATTTCACTCAGACAAGTGAAAACTTTTGTCATACACTGGCAAAGTTCAGTATTTAGGTACCTACGGGTCTAAGTAGCTAGCTCCCACTTAGAAAAGGAAAGCAAGGATTCATTCAGGAGGTGCCCCGGTCAAATATTAACTTCCCTAATAATGAGGAAACAAGGCTTGGAGAGGTTTAGGGACTCTCCCAAGGTTGCAGATTTAAGGGTTTTAACATAAGTCTCTCTAATTCCAGAGTCAAAATTCCTAATCACTACAGTAAGTTTCCTCTAATACTCTTCTAATAGTGTAAAGATTAGCCCTCAGCCAGTCACCTTTGTGACCAATGACAACCAAGGAATTTGCAAGACAGCTGGAGGGAGTGAGAGGTACACTCCCTGGCCATCATTCAGGCTAAAGCTAAATGGAACTCCTGACCTTTGCCTCATTAATACCAGGCTCACTGAAACTAGGCCAACCAGCTCAAACAAAGCACACACAAAACCCTCTGCCTTCACTCTGATGCAGGACTCTGGACATTTCCAAGTGCTGATGATACAGTGAAAAACAAATTCCTGACAAACAAAAAAGAATGTATTAATTCTCAAGAAGGAAATAAACACTTCCATGGTAACTCAGTCTAAAAATAATAAACTTGTCTCTAAAAGTTAAAACTCTAAGCCTCATTCTGCAAACTATTACAGTCTCTTGTAAATCAACACACAAATCCTTCCTAAACAGAAAACCACATAAAATTCTATAAATTTATAGTTCTTAAAGTTTCCAAAATAAAACAGGTAATTTTCATATACACACCATTATATGATAGGTAAAAGTATTTTATAGAATATTCAAAACACTAGAGATAAAACTACTCAGGCGAGGGATGTAGCTCAGTGAAAGAACACTTCCCTAGCCTGCAGGAAGCCCTGGGTTCCATCCCAAGCACAGGAGCAGAGGGAGACACGGAGGGGGAAGAAGCTGCGGCACAGAGAGCGACAGAGAGAACACAAACTATTTATATTAATCAAAAGTATTTATAAACTGTACGTAGTGGCACAATTTGAGAGGCTGAGGCAGGAGGATGGCAAGTTTGAGACCAGTCTGGACAACTTACCCTGTCTCAAAAAAAAAAAATTTTTTTTGGTACTGGGTACCGCACTCAGGTCCTTGTGCTTTCGAGGCAGGCAGTGGAACCACTGAGCTACATCCCCAGCCCTCAAAAAAAATTTTAAAAGGGCCAGGGACGTAGCTCAGTGTGAAGGTCCTAGGTTCAATACCCAGTGCCACAAAAAATAAAAAATACATAAAAAGAGTACTTATAAAAGAGGGTTGACTTGAGGCCATAATACTAAGTGAAATAAATGAGACACAGGTTATTTATCACACGGTTTCTCTTATATGAGAAAACCAAAGTCCTATATAATTTAAAGAGTAAAATAAAACAGGGAGGCACACTTTGCAGAGATGGGAAGGGGATCTAGGGATGGAGACAGGAGAGAAAGAGAAGTAAAAAGGATTCAGATATGATGTATGTACACCATCTCCTCATCATGAATGTATTCATTATGTTTCACAAACACATACTAGTAAAAAATAAAATAAATTTTTAAAATAAAGAGGATTGGAAGAAAAAAATAAATACAATTTTCTATAAAAGACAATATTAATGAATGGCTGTAGTAAGAGTATTATGTTAATATTCAAAGGTTCTCGGGGGCGGGGATTTAGCTCAGTGGTTTCGCCACCTGCTGCGCAAGCACAAGGACCCAAGTTCCATCCCCAGTACCAAAAAAAAAAAATTCAAAGGTTCTTGCCAGATGTGGTGGCACACACCTGCAATCCAGCACTCAAGAGGCTAAGGCAGGAAGACTGCTGCAAGTTCGACACCAACCAACCTGAACTACATAGCAAGACCCTGTCTCAAAAAATAAATAAATATATATATACACACACACACACACACACACACACATATATCTACACAGAGAGAGGTTCTCGATATTGAAACCAAAACCTGTCATACACATAAAGGGAATTCTTTATTAGAAATTTACTTCCATATCTTCACGAATCAGTTTCCAAACAAATGTCCAAAAGAAAAAAACCAAACATAGCTTTTAAGTAACCAAAGTCTGACACACTCAACCAAATGAATCTGAAACACTTTGTCCTCCTCAAAACACTGTAATGATAGCACAACATTCCTGCTGTCAAAAGCAAGAAAAATTAATTTCCCAACTGAATTTTTAATAATCAGATTCTACTCTATCTGAATCTGGAAGTAAGGAAGAGATCTACAAACTATTAAATTCTTCACCTACCGCATAAATAGTCTTAGTTTTGTTAGAAATAGATGACATCTAAAATGCAGGACTTGGTTTTTGTTTTCCTTTCCCTTCTACACTCTCCCATGGCACTTTCATCTCCTTATACCAACTCAATCTGTACATCCATCTATATCATTCCCTACACCTATGTTTAATATATTCCTAACCCTGACCTCTTTATCCAATTACAAATTCACATTTCCAAAAACCTCTATGTATTTGGCAAGTATATAAAACACCCAGCGTATCCAAACCCGATCTCATTATGCAACTACTTGCGCAGAGTACACCATCAACATTGCCCATACTTTTAAGAAGTGTAACCTTCAACTTTTATCTCCTCCAAACTTTCTCTTCACCCCTCCACCCACCTACTAAATTAACAGCCAGATCCTTTTGAGGCTTCTCATCTTACTGCCATTTCCCTTACCCAGTACTCGTAGTACTGTATCAAAAGCCAGCTTGCCACAAATCATTCTGCAGAACTACACTATTAGACCTCGGTCACTTCTCATTACCTCCCAAATGTCAAATTTCTAAATACAGTGTTTAAACACACTCAATAATCCACCCCCTACTTAAACTGCAAACCTCATCTCTAATTCTCAAAAAGGAAATGTATATTCTAGATAATCTGGTCCACTAACTTCTTTTAGTACACAATGGAGTTTCCCACCTCCACACTTTTTTTTTTTTGGTACCAGGGATGGAACTCAGGACCTTGCGCTTGCAAGGCAGGCGCCATAATCACTGAGCTAAATCCCCGGCCTCCACACTTCTGTTAATGTCATTCTCTTTATTTGAAATGCTTTCATCATCCACCTAATCTTTGTTTTAAAAAAGTTTTACCATCTGTGACACTGAACTAGGTTATCAGTTTATTGGGGGGTAGCACCCTGTAGTGGAAATACACAGGCTTTGGCATCAGGCAGATGTGGATTCAAATGGGAGCTGTTTGTTCTCTTACCTGCTAGCCACATAGCCCCCAGGAAAGTTACTCAACACATTTAAGACTCTGTGTCCTCTTTAAGAAAGGTGCTGGGGCCAGGGATTTAGCTCAGCGGTTTCACTGCCTGCTGCGCTTGGGCGTTCGATCCCCAGTAACCAAAACAAAACAGAACAAAACAAAAAACAAAAAGAAAGATGCTTAGGGCTGGGGATTTGGCTCAGTGGTTCCACTGCCTGCCTGGCAAGCACAAGGTCCCGACTTGTAGTTTCAGCACCCAGGAGGCTGAGGCAGGATGATCACCAAAGAGTTCAAGGCCAGGGGCCGGGGATTTAGTTCACTGCTTCCAGTGGTGCGGCAGGGCCCGCCTCTCAAGCGGCGCCTGCATCTCAAGGGCAAGGTCCTGAGTTCGATCCCCAGTACCAAAAAAAAAAAAAAGAGTTCAAGGCCAGCCTGGGATAATGAGTTCAAGGCCAACCTAAACTACATAATAAGACCCTATCTCAAAAACACACAAACAACAACAAAACCCAAAAAGTATTACTAAACCTCTACTACTTTCCAACACCACTTAAGCTAAAATGAAACCTTTTTCCTTTTGTACAACTCCAAACTTTAGATCAATCCACCCAGGTGGTTAAGAAAGGGTGCTTAGGGCCAGGGATTTAGCTCAGCAGTTTCACCACCTGCTGCACAAGCACAAGGACCTGAGTTTGATCCCCGGTACCCAAAAAAAAAGAAAGGGTGCTTGCCTAGCACGTGCAAGGCACTGGGTTCAATTCTCAGTAGCACTGCAGTACCAAACAAACAAAACAAAAAAACCACAAAGACTTTATCTCTGCATACTAGAATGAAGAGCAAACTTAATCTATGCATCCTATAATGACTAGCAGACAGTACAATTTTCATGATTTCAGGCACCTTAGAAAATTACTACTATGCCAGGTGTGGTGGTGCACCCCTGTAATCCCAGCACTTAGAAATTAAGGTAGGAGGATCGCTGTGAGGTTGAGGCCAGCCTGAACTGGATAGTGAGACCCTGTCTCAAAAAACAAAAAAAATAAAATTACGAAAATATGAATCTCAATTTTTACGACCATATCCTCATTTACTTCTACATGGTTGCCTAACATAGCTTAACATACAATGAACATTTAATGTCACTGAATTGACTTGAGTACAGTAATAAAGTTTATAATGCTTGAAAATCAGATTTTCCCCGATTTCCTTTTTCTGCTTTTATCATTCTTGTAATATTTTCCTTCAAAGTACACTATCATATCTAAGTACAGATCCATAACCAAATCTAACTTGACTCCTTTTCCAGATTCTCACAATTACAATATTCCAATTTTATGCTCTAAACAAGTAAGCACTTCAAATGTTCAAGAATCTACAATTTCTAATTAAATCTAAAAATTGTGCAACTAATTTCCTCTCCACAAGTTTTTTAGGGACTTTAAAAATCATTCGCCTCTTGCCTGTTCAAGATCAAAAACCCTGAAATAGGGCCTGGGATTTAGCTCAGTGGCACCATGCCTGCCTTACAAGCGCAAGGTCCTGAATTCAATCCCCTCACCAAAAAACAAAAAATAAAAAAAAGAAACCCTGAAATAAATTTTCTTTTGCACAGTACAGCTCACAAAACTTGTTACTTTGCTCTATTCATTTTCCCTAATTCATATTTCCTCCCTTTCCAGTTGTGGGAGAATGACATAAGCACCCCCTTCAAAAAAGAAAAAAAAAGGTTACAGAATAAATCCTAATATAAGCATAAGATGGGAATTGCAGATAGTGTCATTAAGATGGTCCGTATATACTTTACACTTTATACTTTATGCAAAAACAATGGTCATCTGCTCAGTCATAATCTAAATGCATTCCCTTATGATCATATCACCATCATATGTGATCTGATCACCTACTTCCTACAAACCGTTTACCAGCAGTTTACGACCTAAAGTCTGTTCACTAAAAGTAACTACCTGTATCTCTTTCTCCTCTAGGAAATTCTCAGTTTATTCAAAGTGAACACTTCATGATGTAAATTTAAACAAAACACCTCTACCCACTTGTATCTCTCTGCATTGCACCAACAGCTGTAACAGTTACAAGGCACCTCTCAGGAGAAACCCGACAATTTTTCTTTAAAAGTTAAGGAAAATGACAGTTCCAAATATAAAAGTAAATAAACTCTGGGAGAAAAGTGATGTAATTCTTCAACCCTCTGCAATCAATACTTGCAAGAGCCTCTGACTGAACTCACCCCTTAACTGTGATGTGACTTCGGAGAGCCACAAGAATTAGGCGTACAGTTAAAAGAACAGCATCATTTGTTTTTACGTCAGCAACAAAATAGGGCAATTTATCAGAACTATCGATTTGTCTCAAGTAAGCTCCTTTTTTTTTAAAGTGACTTCCACAGCAGCTTTAGCAACCTTTTAAGTGACGACCCTTACGAGGCGCGCCGGTGAAGCATCTGCGACTTACGCATCCAGACCCAGTTCCGAGAGCAGCTCAAATCGAGCCTGGGCTACTCTCAAGTGGGTCTGGACGAAGAACCTCGATCCCCGGCATCTACCAGGCAGCGCCCCACCCTAGGGCTGCGGGAGACGACACCCCGGGACCCAGGCTAATTACTAAGCAGGGCGGGGGTGGAGGGGACACGTCGGGGACTGACTCAGAGGAGGCGAAAGTTGGGCGCTGGGGCACAGGTTGACTTTGGTGTCCAGGTTCCTACCGCCAGGTTCGACACCGAAAATCAAACTAGGGAGGCGGTGAGAAGATCTGGGGGCACGGGAAAGAGCGGTCGCCAGGACAGACAGAGAAGGCCCACCCCATCCCCACTCTCGAGCCCCAACAGCAACAGCAGCCCCGGGAGCCCCCTCCCCACCGCGCCCCGCCCACCTCGCGGCCCCACATCCCGCTTCTTCCCGCCCCGCAAGCTAGGCGAAGACCGCGGCGGCCGACACCCCCTTTCCTGGACCCCGACAGCTAAGCCCGGAGCCTGGAGCCCGAAGCAAGAAGCGGGGGCCCCGCAGCGCCAGTTCCAACGCAGGCCTGCCGCCCACCCAGTCCCCTCCCCGGCCACTCACCGTCAGGCCGGACGCTGGGAGGGCGCAGGCTGCGGGTAGGCGGGCGCGGACCTCCTCGCTCGGACCCGGGCTGGAGCCCCTATTCGGAGCCGACGGAGCGTCAGCGGCTGGGTCCGCAAGGCCTCTCTCCGGCCCGAACCCTGGAAAAGCACTTCCGGGGGAGCGGGGGAGGGAAGGCTCTGGCACCGGAACTGCTCGCGGGCTGGATTGCCCGGGCCTCCCGGTCCGAGAGGGCGGGGCCTCCCCCCCCCCCCGGCACCCGCACCCCCGCCGTGCGTGCCCGCTAACCCCTTCAGCCCCGCCGCTGCTGGTTTCCCGGACTACTGGGAAGCCTCACGTTTAACTGCCCTTAGGGTTGCTCCGCTCAAGCTGCCTAATCTTACAGAAGAGAAAACCGAGCCTCGAAGAATTGAGTTGCTAGAGCCCAACGCATTCACCTGGCTTCTCCATTCTCTCCAGGGTAATCTCCGATCTGTCTCCTTTAAAAATGATAGTTAAAATTATCGAACGCTTACAACTTGGTAGGCACTGTATTTAGCGCTTGGGGTGCTAGCTCTTTGAATCATCTGTAAACCCCTTGAGACTGATAGTGTTCGCTACATCTTGCGGCGGAGGAAACCTGTCAAAGATATCAAACTCAATACCTCAAACGTTGCATTTGATTTTACTATAACACATGTTGTGTGTCTAACTTTCGTTCTTCTACCCCTAACAAGATTTTTTTTAATTTTTTAAGAACAGGAATCGATCGCTACAAGTTCGAGGCCAGCCTGGGCTTCATAGTGAGTTCAAGGCCAGTCTGAACTACATAGTGAGACCCTGTCTCAAAAACAAAACAAAACAAAAAAACGGGAATCAAATTATGCTTCTATATTTTGTCATCACTTGCGACTTCAATAAAGGACAAGAGCTGGAGGACTGGGATCTTACTGCCTGCCTGGGTCCTGTCAGTTTGCTTTTTCATCCTGCCAAGTTACTACCTGTCTCCAGGGCACAGTTTCCTCCTTTGGTTTGTGTGTATAATCCTCTCTGGATTGTTGTGGAAATTCAAAATGATAATGCAGTATAAACATCTTGGAGTATCTAGTACTGAATAAAAGTCAATAGTTTTTAATACCTCACCCGCAACAGGCAATGGAAAAGGCCTGGATGCTTGTGAAGCTTTGAGCCAAAACAGTATGAAGACTCACTGAATGAGATAGCAGACAAGGAAAGGACAGAAGAGGAGAGTTAAGGGATTCCTCCGCCACAAAATCAGGACATCAAACATAGAGGCAGACTCTGTATCTGAGGCTAAATTCAAGAGGGAGCAGGCAAACTATCTGCAAAACAAATACCTTGAGGGAAGATTTTTTAAAAGACTGCTAACAAAGGCAAGGGAAATGAAAATACCTGAGAACCCTTTATTACAAATTTTAGGTGCACACAATGCCACTGCTAGTGGTTTTGTTTGGGTTTTTTTTTTGAGACAAGGTCTCTATGTAGTTCAAACTGGCCTTGACCTCACTATGTAGCCCAGGCTGGTCTCTAACAGCAATTCTCCTGCCTCAGCTTCCCGAGCTGAGATTACAGTCATGCGCCACCATGCCCTACTGGCTTTGTTTAAAGTGCTCTCTTATTTTTATTTTTGTGGCACCCTAGTGTTTGTAAATACTTCCATAATACCTCAATTCAAGTATCCTTTCACACCTGAGAGTAGGAAGTGCAAAACAGACCCTGCATTGGCAAGACTTAGAAAGATCTCTTTCCACCCAAGGCCTAGTGGTGAAACTATGACACTACGACACGGGAGCTCCAGCAGGCAGTTTGTATCATTGAGAACTCCAAAAGGTTCATCATCACTGGCCTAGAGGAATGGTGACAGGAATCTTGAATCACAGACGAGATGAGACATGGTGGGTCACACAGCTAGCAGAGTTGGTGCAGGAGGCAGAGGAGCTAGTCCTTGGCCATTTAACTTGGCCTTTAACTGGTAGAGGGTGCAAGCAGGATTTGAAAGCAAGTCTGTTTTCTTAGATGCTTTTCTCCATTATGCCAGCTATTCTCAGAATTTGAGAATGTATCAGAATGCTTATTAAACAAATTGCTAAATCTTGCCCCCAGCACTTCTCTTAACCTTACAGAGCTTTTCAAGGTGTAGCCTCAGGATTAACAGCTGGACATCACCTGGAAACTTGTTACAGATTCAAATTCCTGGGCCCCGCCCCATACCTTTCAAACTAGAAACTCTGAGGTGGGACCCACCAATCTCTGTTTTAACAGATCCTCCAGGAGATTGTGATAGGCAATCAAGTTGGAGCGCCAGTGCACACTGATATCTTCCACAGACTTCTTTCTAATTATCCCTAAGAGGTGTAACTTGACTGAAGCAGAAGTTCTTCAGTGATTAAATGACATTTTGGAACATTTTTATTCTGTTTTCGCTATCCATGAGAGATGAAGCTAGGAAAAAATTAGTATTCTTCTGATTACTTTAAATTTAAACTCAAATTTAACCAGATAATAATGGGTTGGATGTGGAACAAATCTTATTTGAGAACTGCTCTGTGCCAAGGCTTTATATGCATTTTCTAAATTAATCTTCACTATACTACTATGAGGTTTTATGGTCTTAATTTACAGATGAGAATAACTGAGACTTAGGTGAAGTAATTGACTTAAGGTCGCATTCTTGTTAAGGGGCAGAAACAGAATTGTTCAAATGAAGATCCCTCTAATTGCAAAACTCAGGCACTTTCCACTTCGTGGCTGGAGCCCGGAGACCAAATTCCAGTGTGGTCTCTGCCACCTGGACTATGCAACACTGAGTAAGTGATTTAATCTATTTTTTTCAGTTTCTCCATCTATAAATAGTGTTATCATCAATCTGCCCTTCCCACACTGAAATGTCAGAACAAATGAGGAAATACAACTTTCAAAAGCGCTTTCAGCTTTTTTGAAGGAAAACAGTAAAAAAGGCAAGTTATTATTCTATTGTATGTTTAGGCAAGCGTTGCTCTGTGGACCTGAGCATTGAAGTTTTTCCTGTTTATCTCCTGATTCAAATAGAAGAGTGCCCCACCACCACCAAGTTATTTGACTTCATTTCCCAGTGTCTCCTGGAGGTTAAGATGACAGAGTATCTTATGCATCTCATAAGATCAAGTGGGGGGCGTAGCTCAGTGGCGGTATGCTTAGCACACACAGGGCACTGGGTTTACTCTCCAGTCCCCCAAATAAATAAAAATGACCAGATTCATAAGCTCCTACTTGTTGCTAAACTGCTGGCCCATCATCACTAAAGATCCCTTTTCTCAGGACTGAGGATCTAGTACAGTGGTAGAGTACTTGCTTAGCATGTTCAAGGCTCTGGGTTCAGCTCCCAGTCTTGACCCCCCCACCCCACCCCGAGAAAGATACCTTTTCTCCAGACCATTTTCTTCTTTTCATTCTAGACATCCCTCCCAATCTCCTCCTTCAATTCACTAGGGAAGACTTAAAATTCCTGTTATTTTATTATGTAGAAAGATTTAGCTCTCAATCCTCATTTTCAGGCCAGACCCCAGGCCACCTTTATTGACATAATCGCCAGGTTGCACAATTCCAGGGGGTACTATTCACAAAGAATACAACGTGAATGATGCTCAAAGGGGTGCCAATTGCAGACTCCATGCCTCCGGGAACCATGCAAGGCTGTGGCTGTGTCTATGCTCCGCTCCTACCCCCAAAATCCATTAAGGCATTTGTTAAACAAAAGAGCCATCTACTTGGGTGTTCATCTTTCTCAAGTATTGAAATAATGGGGTTCTTTATTTTTTGTTTTAACATAGCCCCAGTCCTTTACCACCCAGCTTGTCTTAGGTTCTACACTTGGCATTTTTCACTTACTTCTGTAACATTGTTGCCATCTCCCAGACTTCCTTAAGACTGACTTATATTTTGTCTTTCATTTTTTTTGGTACCGGGGTTGGAACTCGGGACCTTGCGCTTTTGAGACAGGTGGTGGAACCACTGAGCTAAATCCCCAGCCCCAATTTGGCTTTCTTAAAACTGACATTTTGTCTTCTCACCTTCCATTCCTTCCTTGCCATAAGTGCTTGCAAAATGTTTGCTTTGAAAAACAGCACAGTATAGAAGCATATATATATTTTTTAATTTATTTATTAATTTTTTGGTACCGGGGATTGAACTCGGGACCTTGTGCTTGCGAGGCAGGTGGCAGAACCACTGAGCTAAATCCCCGGTTAGCATATATGTTTTAGTGTAAGTAACTATGACAAAGATCTGAAAAATGCCTCCTAAATATGTTGTTTGACCCACAGTTTTGTATTAAAAAATAAATTCAAAACTGTAAAATTGAGAAGCGTCATGTAAAAAACTTTAATTTCTGAGCCAGGCGTGGTGGTGTACGCCTGTAATCCCAGCACTTGGGAGGCTGAGGCAGGAGAATCAGTGAGTGAGGCCAGCCTGAACTACATAGCAAGACCTAGCTAGTGTCAAAAAAAAAAAAAAAAAATTCTAATATCTGCATCTCTTGAAAATGTAGAGCCAGGGATTTAGCTCAGTGGTTCCACTGCCTGCCTCTCAAGTGCAAGGTCCCTGAGTTCGATCCCCTGTACCAAAAAAAAAAAAAAAAGAAAGAAAAC